AACTGCTCTAAATCATCACAAACTTGCCTAAAATTGTGTGTAGTTGTATGGTAATCTTAAAATACTTGCTTAAGTAACTTCTGACATGTTTTTTTTTTAATAATTTTTTTTATATAGAAATTGTCTACTTTTATAGGCAACCGTTTGTCACAGTGAACAGAAAGAGTGTCAGAATCTTTTGCTTTAAATCAGAGATGTGATAAAGGAGATCGGTCACTGGTTGAAATATGATGGGAAAGCTCATAGCGCTGAACATGGTGTCTGTTTGCGGAGAAAGTGCTCAGAAGATGGCATCCGAGTTAACAGACTTTCCTATAAGGGCTTTGTTTGAATTACCTCAAAAAGGATGAGCATCCTTGAAATTAAATTGGCACAACGAAAGAAAGCTGTCATGTTAAGGCATTTGGCATTCAGTTGAAAAATACCACTAATCAACGGCCAAAATGCAATACCGGCCAGAAATGTAATAAGATTTTGCACTTTACATGGTCAAAAATGTAATGATGTAATACCGTATTACATATTAATACCTTATTACCATATTACATTATAATGTATTGTAATATGTGTAATACCTTATTACATTATTGAGAGGAACAGAAGCTACACACTTAAAAAAAAGGTTCTTTAAGGGTTTTTAAAGGCAATGGTTCTATTTAGAACCATGCGTTCTATATTTCATGCTTAAATGGTTTTTTGTATGGTGAAATTGTTCTTGAAATTGAAGAATTATTTTTGAAAATGGTTCTATATAGCACCAAAAAAGGTCCTTCTACTGGTACAAGCTTAAGCCTATAACCATAGAAGAACACTCGTTGGTGCTATATAGAACCATTTTCAAAAATGCAGTCTGAAGAATCAGTCTGAAGAATGATTTCACCATGCATAGAGCCATTTAAGCATGAAATGCTTAATGCTAATGCTAATCACGGTTCTAAATAGAACCATGGCCTTTAACAAAGAAACATTGAAGAACCATCTTTTTAAGTGTGTACCACTGTTAGGCATCTGATTGTGTTCATTATGGACTGATTTACTATTTTTCTCTGTCATAAATACAATTTCGTTCAGCTGACTTTATTCCTGTGTCCAGATTAGACAAGTTATAGTTAAACCAGAAGCAGTTTCACAAGAAGTCTTAAACCCGGAGGCTCTTTCTGACAGAAGAATGAACTGTTCTAAGACTTTATCTCATCGATGCTCCCCTCATTCCAGGTTGAGTTGGTTCCCATGTACAGCACAAAAGCATTGTAGGAGACCTTTGGCAACTGCTCCTGAAAGTGTTCTTATCATCCATTTTGAAAACAAAAAATGATCACCTTACAAATATAATACTTTTCCAATTATGTAATAAAGTATTACATTATTGGTAAAAGTATTAATACATTGTCAGTTCAGACATTGTATTACATTATCGAATAAATTATTACATTATTGGGTTTTATTACATTTTCGACTAAGTGCAAATTTTTATCACATTTTTGAGTTTATTACACTATTGGGAAATTATTACAATATTGGGTTCTATATACCTACTTTTACCACTGACTTACAGCACTGATAAAACTGCAGAGAGAGAGAGACTGGCTGATGTACTAATTATACCTGTTGATAATGGACTTACAACTTGAACAAATGTCATCTGAGTAGCTTGTCATCATTCACTGAAGCTCTGGCCGCAGTCCAGGGAGACAGCTATTGTCAGTTCTTCCTTCAAAGAATGCATGCATGGGAAACTGACACATAAAGATAGACAATGCAGACTGCAAGGCCCGGAGACGACTGTGACCGAAGGAAAACTTTAGACCTAATGGCTCTGTGTTTGGACAGCTTTACTATACATAGATTAAGAGGGAAATGGCAGATAGTACAGGTTTCAATACATGGGCTACTAAAGTAGCAACGTCAGTACCTCCTACACGGAATTCAAAAGATAGTTTACAATCACAGTTGCATGATTTATTTAGCTATGTATTTGTGTAGTCACTAAGTTAGACGGGTAAGGTGGGTTTGCTCCATAAATGTTGATTTATAAGGTCAGTGGTAATGTGCTCAAATTTGAGTGCTCAAATCTGAGTCCAGATCAGTCAGATTAATTATTCTGTGGTGAATTAACTGAGCCAGTCAGAATCATGGTCCATTTTATGTATTTCTTTTTAAAATTACGTTATGATGATTTTCTAAGTGAAAATAAGTTCATCCTCTACAGAGAACACTCTTCCGCACACTATAATGCATTAATTACTGCTTATGTGCTGAATTTAACATATTGGGAAAACTAAAACATAAAATGTGGCCTGTTCAAAAGTTATAGCACGTTTCAGCAAATACATAGAAATTGTGCTCTAAAATTAGTAGAAAAATGCTATATGTATGTTTCTTCCCTGTAGTTGTTGTTGTATGTGTGTTAACTTATTTTCACTTTGAAAATCAACAAAACATCATTTGAATTGGAAAACGAGAGTGAAAAAGCTGTTTATCCAGATAGTGTTTATTTGCTCAGAAAAAAAACACGAATATTATAATAAAAACATAACATTTATTCAACAAGTAGTAATTTATTTATGTTGATTTTTCAATTTCAGTTTTCTCAAGGAAGCCCATTATTACTTGTAGTTACCCTTCAGTGCCTGATGTGGTTAATCAGTACTTCATTTTGTTCATTAAATCAGGTGTTGATTGAATTTAACCATGCAACATCTGGGGCATCTTTCATAGGATTTCATATCATCTCTGTCCAAAAAAAATTTTTCTATTTCTTATTTTTGCACATTATTTGAACACAGCAAAACAGCAACTTTCCTTAACATTGTGTAAGAGATCATGATAAATGGATCTATTGAATGCTTGTGCCACATTTGTTACATCATGACTTATGCTTGGAAGTGAAAGGAGCCAATGAGCCCAATCAGATACTAGTTTACTCAATTCCAATTTATTCAGTTCCAATTTCCTGTCACCAGACGTCCTCGCAGAACTAAACAGAAGGGTCCAGCTGCAGCCGTCCCTTCTGGGCCTGGGAAGGGCTGTGAACTAATGGGAGACAAGGAATACCAGCCTCAGGTCCCAGTTAGACGGGTCCTGGTGAGTTAAGGTTTGCTAAATTTCGCTGAGTAACTAAAGGAAAAAGGTAAACAGTAGCAAAAAGGAGCCAGCGGAGGAGGGGCCTAAGAGAAAGGTCTCTGTTGGGGCCCACAGTTGGGCTGCAATTGGTTCCTATTTGAACTCAAGATGTCTGGTACCAAGACTACACGTTAGAAGACACTGGCTCAAAACAAATTTCAGTCTATACATATTGATAATTTCAAAGTTAACTGATTAACTGTCTACTTACTAATAGCAGTAGAATAAAAAAATTGGCATCAGAAAAATTTGATAAAACTTTGAGAAGACAGACTAAATTTAAAAGTATTTAAAAGTACAGTAGCTTTTCATGTAGCATCATGTTCACAATTTCATATTATAGGACTTTAATGGAAATGAACAATTGTGAGCTCACAGTTTTTTTTTATTCACAATCTTTTCTTTTTTTGTCCACATTTTTTTTTATTTTTGCATTAAGATGTTTACATCACTATGCCATGCTGAAAAGACTAGGGTGTAAGTTTTTTGAAAATTGCTGCGGTGGCAAAAGTGTTTCAAAGTCAATACATTTTGTCCTCTGAATGTCACTGGATCTTCTAAATTATGAGGTCATTAAGTAGTTGAAAGATGAATATCACAACATGCAAACTAACACGGCACATTGAACTGAAATCAGAAGGCAACCTAGAGTCGGCCAATATGACAATATTTATCGTTATCGTGATAAATTATGTCTCAGTTTGTCAGAATAAGCTTTTCTGAGCGTATCATGGACATCTTCAGTACTTAAAAACATTTGTCAACTGCATGTTTGGTTACAAAGAGCTTTTTGAGCTTTTTTTTAACTGGTCATGTTTAATTGGATTTAGTGCAGTGTAGTACATGAAATGTTAAATACCAATTATTGGATTCATAGTCTTGGATAGTAGTTTTTACTTCGTCTGTTACAACTATCCAAATGTCAGGAAAAATAAATATTGTGACTTATTGTATATTGTAAACACTTCTTGAAGTATTGTGATGTCGCATTTGTATCATGTATATATTATGTATATATTTGTATTTGTATGTCGCCCAGCTTTATGACAACCTCAACCCCATATATTATGTTTTGAGTCCTTAATGACTTCATAATTTGGAGGATCCAGAGTCACATTCTAGGGAAAATGTCCATAGGGCATTATATGTGTGGTGGATCATTCTCTGCGCTGCAGTGACACTGACATGGTGATGGTATGTTAGTGTGTGTTGTGCTGGTACTAGTAGATCAGACGCAGCAGCGCTGCTGGAGTTTTTAAACACTGTGTCCTCTCACTGTCCACTCTATTAGACACTTCCAGTCCTCGTTGGTCCCCCGTGTAGATGTAAAGTCAGAAGCAAGAGCTCATCTGTTGCTGCACAGTTTGTGTTAGTCACCTTCTAGTGCTTCTTCAGTGGTCACAGGACGCTGCCCACAGAATGATGATGGCTGGATATTTTTTGGATGTTCAGTCCAGCAGTGGACACAGAAGTCTTTAAAAACTCCAGCAGCACTGCTGTTTCTGATCTACTCAGACCAGCGCAACACACACTAACACACCACCACCACGTCAGTGTCACTGTAGTGCTATAAAATGATCAACCACCCAAAAAATACTTGCTTTGTGGGGGTCCTGACCATTGTAGAACAGGGTGAAAGGGGGCTATCAAACTATGCAGAGAAACAGATGAACTACAGTCTGTGATTGCAGAATTACATAGTGCACGTATATGGTAAGTGGAGCTGATAAACTGGACAATGAGTGTAGAAACATTGAGGTGGTTTCAATGTAAAGGCTGATCGGTGTATTTTTCTTGTCACCTTCCTATTTACTTTAACACGCCTTGTTGTATTGCGCTGGTGACACCGCGGGCATTAGGACCGCGCGGAAGGCGAGCGGGAGGAGCGCAGCAGCCACAACGGTTGGGAGGAAAGGCGAAGGAGAACGGGGGCTAAATGAAAACACTTTTACCTGCTTTTTTCTGTGGGATTTCGCTGCCAGTATTACCGCCGACGCCACCCAGAGCGATGTTCCGGAGGCATTTGTGATCCATTCTTCAGGTAAAGTGTCATTTTTCCCCCCTCCCCTTCTTTTCCGTGTGGACTAGCTACGTCCGACTGTTAACTGAGAGGGAAGGTCTCATTGTATTGAATAGGATGCGGTTACTCTCACCCAGTCTGCCCCGACTAGGCCCACACTCCTGCCTGTTCCTCAGGTTTATACTCGTTTACTGGTACTACATGAACAAAGGGCACCTTTACACCTCTGTGCGTGTTGAATTCAAGTGTAAAAGCGTGTAAAAACCGTTCGTCTGTGAGCAGGAACGCCGTATGTGTGGTGAAGATAACCCAGTCCAAATGTTTTAGTGATCTGTCATGTCTCTACATTGTGTCCTCTTGTCTTGAGTTGACCGCCGCGTGGACGGATAGGCCTGCTGCTTTTTGTTCATGACTTCCCCGAGACCATTCGCCTTAAACCTTATTATCTGGGGAGAATTAGTATCTGAGGCAAAAAAATATGTAGTTGTAAGAAACCTAAACGTTCTTGTCATTCTGCCAAGCCTTTCTCATTCACCCGCTGCGAAGAAGTGGCTGAGGTGATTTTACAGGGTGTGTATCGTCCAGTGCTCTGTGTTTTACTCCCACGTTGCTGCTCTCTTGAACCTTGGATGTTGTTTTGACTGTAGGACATGAAGAGCAGCATGCACATTAAGGAAGAATACAGGACGGACACAGTTTTTCCCCATGTTTTTTTCTTTTTACACGTAGAACAAATCATCTTGGTAGCCATCAGCCTTGCTGAAACGACAGGCTTTAGCATGCACACTCTTCTTTTTCTTCTTCTTCTTCCTTTATTACTACTACAGTCATGAGACTTTAGTAAGGGCTGTTTGTGGCCCTGTGTTCAAAAACTGTGGCATGTGACACAGGCTGGTGTAGTTGCTGGTCGCCTCATTCTGTGGTCGCTTGAAGATGCTGAGGGTATTTTTTCTGCACGCCTCCACCCTTGATTCCCTCTACTTGTCCATTAGTGTCTAAAAGGACTTGGAATTCGTTCGGGTCCTGTTGACGCAGTAACATGCAGAATGTCAGGAATGCTGTTTGAAATTTGCTTAGACACACTTGGGCTTATTGTGCACGTCAGTGCTTGGTAGGCGAGCCTTAGGAGCCAGGATGAGTCAGGATGAGGGGACCAGGCCTAAAAAAAAAAGGGCAACCAGAAGGAGATCCTGATGCTTGTTGTACGACTGGTCCTTCTGTTGCTTTTGGCCTTGGTAGTTTTCTGGAGGAAACCTCTTGATCTGTTTGAGTTTTCCATTGCACCCCATTGAACCACATTCCATTGCACGCCTGTTACATAGGAGTATTTGTCCTAAGGCTCAAAATTGCTGTTCTGAGCTGTCTGTATGGCTAATAGCCTATAATAGGTGAAGGAATTGCCGAGAAATTACTTACAGTCATCTAATGCTGCAGAGTATTAGTCATTTGTTATAAACATCACATATGATAAATTATAGAATAGCTTGACCTCCTAGTGCCACGTGTGAGCTGGATTACTCAGAGAGTTCATGAAAAATGGAATAAATTGCTTGATCACCATAAATCAAACCAAGAATCCCCTGCAAGCTCAAGCTTGCATCAAATTGATGCAGTACAGTATCTTATTTAGAATATTCTTAAACTAAACTTTTACCATTTTGATTGCCTTTCCACTTGATCACACCTCTACTATGCAGTAGCTCTGGTCAGAGGTGGGTGAACTACACAAAAATTCATGTCATGAAGTCATGTAAATTGTGGGTAGTAGGAGTATGCTTTGTTCTTCTGACAGTCAAAAGCTCTTTTTGGAACTTGATAAATGGGGAAATCCCATCTTCCTCTTGCTTCCCAATATTTATACACTCACCTTCTCAATATAGAAATCATGTTTGCTTCTGTTGATGTTATTGTGTGCTGTGTCACCCCCGTTCACCGAAAGACTACACAAACATTACTGCCTCCAAACTAGTTAATGATGTTGTAATGGCAGTGCATGGTTCAGAGCTCCTTGTGGCGGCTTGCATTTGTAAACACAAAACTAATTTTATGGTCATGCAGATGAACCTGCTTCCGGAATAAATAATATGATCTAATCCGACACTGCTTGGATGAGTAAAGCCACAGCACAGCACAGCACTGCACTGTTCAGGGTTTTAGGAGCTCTCTAAATAGGAGTCAAATCTATACTTTAAGACGTTGTGTTGGTTTTACCATCATAATGTCCAGCCCTTCCCCTGGTATGATGCATCTGTCTGTACCTAATGGGTGGGGGTGGGGGGATAGCTTGAGGTAGGTGATATGAACACAATTTTGCATCACAGTATTTTCCATTATCTGGACATGAATGATGTCACTGTTCTCGTCTTTCCCCTAGAGGTTAAGGATATGCCAGTGTTTATTATTGTCATGCTAAATTGTCACGTTATGTCACAGTTTTCCTTTTTGAGTATATTGTGAAACAGAACACTGGGTAACTGCATGTGTCATTATAAAGAGAGCATGATTAGTCCTGTTTAATCAGATTCAGTGCAGCGCAGTATGTGAAACATTTCATTAAAATCACCGTATTCATAGTTTTTGATAAAGGTTTTAAAACATGGCTTATTATAGTTTATTTTTCTCTGCTCCAGCTCAGTCAAACCTCAGAAATCATGATGCATATTATGTATTGTGAAAATGTCTTGAGGTATTTTAATATTTTTTCCATTTGGCCACTCCTACTTCATCCTCAGTCTTGTTTTTTTCACATCTTTGTCCATCCGGAATTCTATCTCACACTTTGCAGCATCACTCTTTGCTGTATCTGACAGTGCTGCATATTCCAGCTTTGTGAAATTGTATGTGTTAGGTATTTATTTTTGCCCAGTAGAGCATTTTAAAAGAGAGGAAAAAGCAAAGTTTCCTTTTTGTTGTGTTTATAAGAATTGTTTCAAGTTCATGTTTAATTCATATTGACTCTGGCTTCGTATTTTTGGGTTTATCACGCTATCCATGATAAAATGTCCCACTAGTATTCACTTTTATACCAGAACACAACCCCAAGTGATGTCGTGTTCTGCCTTAAAGGCCTGCCATGTTGACATTGTGATCGCACGAGACTGTTCCATAGGAACGTGGTCAGTCTCTCAACCACGAGGCATGGAGACCCCATCGTCTTGCCCTGCCACATGACACTGATTTGCATTGAATGGGGCTGGCCCCTGCAGCCAGAACCAGAATGATGAATGATTGAAGAGAGAGAGACCGCGCGAGAGCATGAGTGAGTGGGTGGAGGCCCCAGGGCCCAGTAGACCATGTGACCCCCAGTCAGGGTATTGGGTTCATTCAGTTGCCGCTGGCTGGCTGGCTGCCAGCTATGCAGGCATTTATCCTCCCCCCTCCCGAGTAGCATGGAGTCCACTGGTAACGCAGAGGCTGCTCGTGTTTAAGGGTAGGTCAGTGTTTTGGTTTCAAGTCCGTCATGCATTGTTACTGCCTCTGCGGTTGTTCTCTCTACATCTTGCTTTCTCTTTCCATTTCTCTCCATTCCGCTCTGTCCATCTCTGCATTCCTGTCTCTAGCAGCCGCCTGGCATGCTCTCTTTCTGAGAGAGATTCTTTTCGAACGTGGCTAAATGTTTGTATGTGTGTACTTATGACAGCTGAAGTTGAGGGCTGGTGTGAGTGAGACTAGGTTGTGGTGTTAGATTGCATGCAGAGAGTTGAGAGGCTTCTCAGGGTGTCCTAACTATTTGAATTTCCTGTTTAGTCGCCTTTCGTTTACGCTTAAAAATAATAGTTCTTGGCTCGGACGTGCGGTTATAGGAAAAGCCTTTTATTGGGATAGTACCTTTACATTGTCCTCCACAGTCCCCAAGGCAGACTCTTAACAGTTTCCCTACATTTTTGATAAGAATTTTGTGCTTTATTTTTGTGGGTCTCACAAGCACAGGGTCAGTGTGATGCAGTCTCTGCCCATTCCAAACTAATGACTTCCTGTGAGGGAGCAGCCACTCAACACATTTGTGTTTATTTATGTTTGTGCCAGCCATTGAAGTCTTCCTCTTCAGTTAAGGAAATAGTGTGTGTGCCTTGGAGTACAGGCCCTATTTAGCCTCACTACTAAACTACCAACTGCCAAAAAACACATAAACCCATCATCAGTTAACAGAGTGATGCAGGATTTGTGAGCCAGTACTCTGTTTTTTGTTTTTTTTTATTTTATTTTTCACCAGTTTTTCCTCCCCAGTTTTGTGGTGGGAGCAGGAAGGCTGGCACATGCTTCCTCCAAGGCATGTAAAGCCAGCCACCACAGTTTTGAGCTGCTGCTACACGAAATTGACAGCTCAACGAAGGAGAAAGCTTACTGCCAATTCTGTTATGTCTGCCTCGACTAGCATCATGCTGAGTGAATGGGGAGAGGGAGGGCTGTCCAGAGATAGTGAAGCCGATAGGCCTTTTTCACATTTCTGGGTTCTTACTTGCATTGGTTTCTGTTAGCAGGTAATTTTGTTTCCGGTCAAACCAAAACAAATGGCGCAGTCCAGTTTCAAGGCATTTTGCTCTGTTCCTTAGTGCCACAACTGCAAACCAGAACAACCAGGGGATTTTATAAATTTCTGACCAAGCACAAGTTAAAATCTGCTCAATCCAATCTAAAGGGTAGAGAGTTAAAACTTTAGAGTAAATGCTGGCGTTCATGTCTGCAGCCATCACTTTGCAGAAAGTCTCCTTCGGGTTGATTTATGCTCAGAGGTGGTGCTGTACTCTGCCCTCTCCTTTGGAATAGCTTTCAAAAGCCCAAGATTTGAAAATCTGTTTATTCAAGAACATCCACACGGCTTGGAACAGATGTTAACAGCCAGGATAAAAAGGAGAAAGAAATGGCCTCTCATTCAGATTTCCTTTCCATCTCCAAGATGCAGCACTCACCTTAAATGCCATGCTGGCACTAGAACGTAGCTGCAGCACCATTTAGGGAGGAACAGATTATTTGAATAAGAAGTTCAAAGTCTATCAGTTTACTGATATTGCAAAAGCAGTCTGACCTAACAAAGCACTGCAGCTGCAGATTTAAACTCTTTAAACTCTCAATTTGTTGGTTAGTGCTAGTAGCTGACATCTTTGATTAGCCAACTCAGTACAGTAATGCTGCAGATGCAGCTCTCTCTTCCATCCCTAGCCGTAACGGTGTCAAACCTGTACTTTGTGTGGTTTGTCGTTCTTCCTCATTGATCTGAATGATCTGGCCCTCACTATGACCTCCTCATCCACAACATTTGAAACTACATGTACATATAAAACATTTGAATATATAGTAAACATATATAAATGTTAGAACAAGCCAACAATTTCTAGTCAGGTTACCCAAGTTAGCTTGCTAGGTTAACTAAGTTAGTTGGCTGTAAAATTCCTTGAAAGTCAAAAATGTAATTTTTGAAGAATAGCTTGTATCCTTTACTCTTCTTGAGTTGTTTTTGAGTGTCTGTGTGTGTGTGTGTGTGTGTGTGTGTGTGTGTGTGTGTGTGTGTGTTTTTTATTAATAAATCAGTCTACATCACAGCCTGAGATATGAGGGAGGTCCTCAAGACAGCTTGTGAAGCACCTTACCTCCATGTTTTGAAAGAACCGGCAAGCTAGTCGGGTGTTTTTTACATGCGTTGATGCTATTTCCTCTTAACCGCATCGGAGTGTGAAAAGGGTCCATTATGCTCCTTGGACTCCCAAATACAGATGGCTGTGGCATCCCTGATGATCAAAATTGCTATTTTATGAATAATCTGTGTGCACACTTTTCACAATTCATAGTGCTATATAGTGAATAAATTTAAAATTTTAAAGATTATATTTGTTTATTTATTTTGTTTCTGAACACCATCTTTATACACTAGGCACTCTTATAATTGACTGATTTATTTCTTCTTCCTTAGTTTATTGAGATATAGTGGTTTTGATTGAATTTGTCTAAATTCTTCTTTTAATATTTTTAGACTCTGTCATGTACATTTCATGCTATATATTGTTTTCTTTAAGACGTGGGTTTATACTTTGGTTTATATTTTAAGTTTATATTCAAGCTTTTTCCACGTTTTACACCTTTTTAGATATGGCAGTGCAATGTCATTATTCTGTATTACAGATTCACAGATTAATATTAAAGGTATCTGACTGCAAAAGCCTTTACCAATGAAAGTAATAATCACAGACTAAAATCGTATTACTTACAGATATTGTATGTAAATGGGGGTGGAGATGGCGCTAACCTGCAGCTCACTTTTCACTGTCTTGTGCACACCTTCTATTACAGCCGTAGGATTATAATAAAGGCCAGCCTGTAATTGAAAGCATTTAAAAATAACCAGGTTCAGTATTTTGACAGAATGTGAACCAGCACAACAGTGATTTGTCTGCACACACAACAGGGCTACAGACACCACTGTGTCCGGTTTAATGGGAAACATGACAAGCCTTAGGCTATCTTTATATGTCACTAATTTTCTGCAGTTCAATAATGCCGCTGCTTCCTGTTGCTGGTGAGCACGGATGCAAGCAGGGGGCTTGTGAGCTGTTTCCTGGACTGGATGTTGTGACATTGATTTCTGTTTAAACTGTGAAATTGGTTGTATAATAATCTAATCTTGTGTCCTCTTAATGTGTATTCATATATATGCTAACTTATGATTGATACCACCATTATTACAAAAATAAAAGTGTATTTTCCATTATGTCAGCTGTTCTTCTCAAAAAAGAAAATTGTTACAAATGGATAGTCAGCATTTTAAAACGAAACTCTTTGCCTTTGCCTTCACAGAGATGGTTGCCCTGTGATCTTTATGATCTACTAATATTTTAACATATTTTTTGAAATTTTAAATTATGCCATGAAATGGACAGAAAGATCTCAGAATACGGCCAAGAGTTTTGTAATAAGTCAGGAGTAAGGCTTACGTGTGTATTCTGGGCTGTCCTTCCACAGGTAACATTTGAGAAGAGGCTCCTTGCCCTGGCACAAGTTAAGGAGACTGCGGGGTCGGAGCTGCTGCTCTCCCTCTGAGACGCCGGCTAGACAGAGCTTCTCCCTCTGGCCAGCATGACGGACGTGGTGATCGTGAAGGAAGGATGGCTCCACAAACGAGGTGTGCCCCTTTTTTGACTAGCTTTGTAGAGGATACAGATAGCTCTCACTGTGGCACCGTTTTTCTCTTGAGCTTGGTCACAAGTCAGTGTCTCACGAGCTAGTCCACGTTTTTGCTTTGACCTAGCTCCCAGTACAAGTGTTCAGTGTTTTGATGGCTTGGCTCAGGTGTATTGGTAATCAGAATAGGGCAAAAGTGTGGACTGCCTGGTGAGTCCCAACAACTGGTTGAGAACCAAGCGTTTGCTCTCTGAAGGTAATATGAGTTGAATTCTGAAGTATATTTCACCTAAACAGAAGTGGCAAGTATTCTCATTTGTTCCAACCTTTGCTGTTTTTGCAATCACCTTACATCCATTTTTACGCTGACGGCTTTATAATTTACATCTCGGCTAAATGAGTTCACTTTCCACCCACTCAACAATGGACTGTTGGCAAAATTCTGACAAGTCCCACCTTGCAAAGTTACTGTTACTATGTTCATTAACCTTTAGCTCATTCCGTCTAGCACTTGTGCTAACAGACTAAAACATTCAGCAGCAGTAGGGCTGTACGATACTGGCATAAAGTGTGACATTCAAAAAAAGCTGTCAGATGTCACAATGGCGATATGAGAAGCGCTAAATTATCATTAAAACAGTGTGCCTCAGACTGGATGTGACACAAAAGAAATGAAATACCTACAGCTACTTGTATTAGAAATGCAGGCACATTATTGTGCACTGAAAGGCTAAGAAACAGTCAGTATTACCTTAACAGTGTTTTCAAAAAATAAATAAGCAAGCGCACAAGAACAACATTTTATTTATTTATTAATTTTGTTTAGTTATTAAAAATGTTTGTTGTGACAGTAGTCGTTACTACCTTGCACACTTAAAACACAATCTTGGGTGTGAGAACAATGCGTTTTTGCAGGCTGTAGTTCAGGGTGCAGTAGTTTTTGAGCTGGGCATGTGGGTGTTTTATAATTGGCCGTTTAGCCGAATGAGTACCTGTCATCCATGCGGGAGAGCAGGGTTCAATCCCAGCACAGATAGGCACTCATTAGGGTTCTGATTATTTGTGCCAATCAATTTGCTCTGTTCTGTCATCACAGCTCTTAACGATGTGTTTAATTGTGGAAACTCTTATCACCATAACAATAAAAATATGATTTATCGTCAAGCCCTATGAAGCACAATAAGAGATACATTAGAAAACATTTTAATGAGTAATATACTGGCTGTTCGGTGCAGAACTAAAAGATACGAATGTAAAAAAAAAAAAGGTTTCTGGAAACCATGTTTACAATAATCGAGCTAGGAAAATCTTTTAAGCACAGGGTGTTAAAGCAGCAGGTTTCTGGTCTAATAAGGAAGAGGTTTGAGCGATGGAAACTGCCCCTTCAGATGAGCTAATACCCTAGATAATGTTGGATACTGGGGAGGATTTGTTGTCTTTCACGCAAAGCTTTTTGGCTTTATTCAAACAAGAGAAATGATTTCATGTGTACAAGTGAATTAACATTTATCTTCACACAGAATGTTCTCAAAAATGTGAGTACTGTACAGTCCATTTTAATCTGACTAATTTATTAAGATAAACAGCCACTTTATAAAAAAGCTAACTTAGTCATCTGACAAGTTTTAAAACACTTTTCTTCCATCTCTTAGCCTAACAATTCTGACTCATTTACTGCCAGCACCATTCTCGCTTTAAGTTTGTTTTAGAGGAGTTTTAAGTTTTTCCTTTTTTGACAGAAAAGGTAGGGCTTAGAGATGATTGTGATAGGCTGAGAGGCGTGTCAGTCTTTGTTTTGCAAGCAGTAAGTCAGTTCCTTACTTAATTTGACTTTATTTGAAAGCACCACTAGGGGTATCTGATATCAGGTGACTGAATCTAAACTTTGGCACATAGTTTGTTGTTTGAAATTGACTAAACAAAGTCATTCAGAGTGTTTTGAAATGGTTGATTTATAGTGAAACTTTCCGACTCAGATTTCTTTACAGTGGATGTGGGAAACGAGAACCAGGATGTTGGCAATAGAAGTATATTTATTGTCCAAAAGGACCAGTAAACCTATATGTGTGTTTTTATATGCAACTTTGATAATGGTAAAATTGTCGTGAATCTGAAAGATACATTTTCTTTAGGGACTATTTGCTTTCTCAAATAGTGTTAAAAATTTGGTGCCCTACTATTGTACTTAATATTCTGATATCCTGAGTAACTAATATTAGTAGGATTCACTGTTTTTGAAAGCGAGAAACCCATTCATTGATACGTATACATACATACATACACAGCAGCATCACACACAACTCTGACACAATGTAGTGCTGCAGTCTAGGGGTGAGTGATATAACAATATAATGTTATTATCATCATAAATCACACCACAATATGTTTTTCTGAGTGCATTGTGTTTATCATCAGCATTTAAAGAACACTGTCACTTCCATTAAAAAGAGGTCTCCATTCCCAAGTAGTGTAGTAGTCGGAGGTTTAGCCCTGTTGTCAGGAGGGCCTATGTGTAGGCCTTTCACAGTCATGAAATTGTAGCTGATGATTAATTCCCATATAAATAATTAGGACTAATGCTTAATTTGTCTTTTTGTTTATTGTTGCTGTATATCTAAGTACATGTTTAAAGTGGCTTGATTGACTCATTAGCTCTCTTTTGTTACAGCTGTTCATACTTAGTGGTTCCCAACTGAGAACAGGCAGAGCTCTAGCTCAAATAAACAAACATTACTCAACACTGACCTATAACGGTGTCATTCAGAAGTACCTCATTAAAATTGTTTTCTGCTTGCTTTTATTGACATCCATTTGGCACAACGCAAAAGATGAACACACACAATTCACGTTCTGTATGTTGTGATGTAAACCTCTGATTGTGAAAGCGAACAACTGCAAAAATAATTACAGTCAGCTTAAATAATTGCCATCAGCTCCTGTAATTGCAATCAGGCGATAATGTGAGAATTAACACATGCCTACATACGTCCGTCTCTTTTACTTAGCTTGTATTTTCATTTCCTTTACCCGCATCAGAGAAGGCCAGGGATGAATGGATGTGTTGGTGGCAGCTGGGCAGTCTGAGACCTATGACTCAAGATGTTATGCCTTTGATCCCAGTTGATGAGTGGTGATTTAGCCAAACAATATACAGTGTGATGATTCTCACTGCGACATCCAACTCAATACAAAATAAATTAAATCTCATATTTCGTATTTCTAGAGAGCAACACTGTTGTCTAAAATTAGTCTCAGCAAAGAATTTGCACATAAGTAAATAATCACAGACATTTCCATTAGCATCTAACTTCCTGATTCGTATTCATTTACTGATCTCAGGCTTGAGAAGGTAGCAACATAGCAATAAAATGCCAGTAGGACATTTTTGTCCATATTGTGCAGACCTAACTGCTTACCTGTGTTTCTGTAACTCTAGTGGACTGCTGGACTGTTGAATTCTTCCCACAGTTGGGATAATTTGAGTTATTTGCTAGGCCCGTTTCCTTTTATATGACCAAATGTAAAAAAGGTGAAAGTGGTGGAAGTAAGTTTAAGTTCTAAAATATTGCAAAATTCAAGTAATTCATTTTAAAGGTAAATTGAATCATTAAGATGGAAAAAAAGCCTACCAAGCCTACCAAAATTGACCAAGTTAGAATTGTTCTCGGTAGTGGTGACAAATAAAATGGCTGCATTTGCATTGTAGACCACTGTAAAGAAATCAGTCACACCAACACACTCTGAACTACTGAATTATGCAGATTTTTTTGGAATTTTCCTTTACAATGATTCTTTTTGGTCATTGATTTTTATTCTGGAAATTCATTTTTTTCAATGTATAGCTTGATTTGCTAAAATGAGTAATGGAATGGTTAACATGAAATTGCAGTAATATGGTCAGTAAAAAATGCATACACCATATTGATCACTACATCATGGAAGACTATTTGCCAAGTCAGTGATTGCTTTCTCGGTTTGCCTTAGGAAATTAGTCACTGATTGTGCTGAACCACTGTGCATTTCCTTTGGTTTTAATGCAACAAGCACTTTTTGTTTACCTCATCTGCTAATTGATTGACTTAGATTGCATGAGTCGGATGTGTAGTTTTTAATTCTATTGAGAGAGAGAGAAAGAGAGAGAGAGAGGAAGTGAGCTGGTGTGTCAGAGGGTAGTGGAGAATAGAACGGCTCAATAGGGTTCTCTCTCTCTCTCTCTCTCTCTCTCTCTGTCTCTCTGTCTCTCTGTCTCTCTCTCTCTCTCTCTCTCTCTCTCTCTCTCTGTCTCTCTGTCTCTCTCTCACTCACACACACACACACACACACACACACAGTGTCAGGACGCTGATGCAGTTTACAGAGAAGTGTAGATCGTTCTATTGATAGCATCCGATGTCAGAGCTTCCTTTAGCTTTCTATATATGTTTAGCTAACCCTACTTTATCCTGCTGAATAATTTGTAGAATACGTTTGTCTTACCCAAATCAGTTTAAGCTGGGTTACTTTAAATTGGAAAACATGGCACTAACACAATATTGTCTTAACCACATGAACCAGCGTATCTGGTACTGGGCCCAAAAAAAGAGAAAGCCACCAGTTTCAATCTGCTGCCAGAGGTGTTACACCGTGTGCATGTCCCCAACATCGAAATCATTTCAGCATTTCAGCATGTAGAACCAGAGCTTTCTGTGTGCGACTGTGTTTTCTATCACTCTGTCACTATGTAAAATAAGCACAAGGCTTCTTTGTGTTGTGTTTATTTTTTTTCCTGCGAGCTCATTCAGAACAGAAATGAGATTGATCTTGAAATGAGAACAGCTCTTATTGATCTGTTTAATCAGTTTATTGATAAAGCATGAGTAGGGCCGAGCAGTTTGACAATATCTATCATTATTGTGATGAATGATGTCACAAGCATATTATGTATATTGTCGGTACTTAGAGAACAGCTCTCACCTTCATGTTTAGTTAGAAAGAGAGCATTATTAGTCAGATTTAACTGGA